CAATTAAAATCTTTCCAAATTAAAAAACGCTTTCATTGGACTCTAAACTTGGTTACTTTCGGTCAGATTTAATATTTAATTTAATCAATTTTAATGTGATTTAATTTCAAGTGCAAAAGCAAAAATGCAGCAAACTTGTTTTTCATTCTGAACATTTGTTTTGCTGCTCAGACGTTAGAAGAACAAACTCCTTCAACCGTAATCGATTTAAAACAACAAATCTGGATCCTGGTAAAAATATTGAATCCAGCGTATTAACTATAAATTTAGTCTAAAAGCATTTGAATTGATTGAAGCTGATTCTGTTTAAACTTTGTTTCTGTGAGTGTTTCTCAACACAGAGTCCTGTGGTTGGATGTGTGTGTGTACTCCCCCCCTCCCTGCTCCATCACTGGCCTCTCTCCCGAGCTCTCTTGCCTCCCTCAGAGATCCCAACCACGGCTTCTTCAGAACGAACTAACCTCTAATGTTTGTCCTGCGCTGCCTCCAGCAGTCTCCACTGTAAGAAGCGGTGAGCAGGTTATGCTGGCTGGACCATGTCTAATGTTCTTAAATGGCCCTTAACAACCACAGTGACCTGTTAATAACTGGACTATCGTGCGGTCGTGGTCACTGAAAAGTGCTCAGTTTATGGTCACCCATTAATGTCCTGTTTGGGCCACGAAAGCGTCTGCATTTGCCACTATAGACCAACAAGGAGTCGGCTCTGTGACTGGTGGCTGGAACAGTGATTTGACATTTGATTTGTGAGAAGAAAATATGCGATTTTTATTAGTGAACAATTTTAAAATACCAAAAATGGAGGAGAAGGAGAATAATGTGTGTTTATATATGATCTGCAAATGTGCTGGTCGTGTGTCGCTGCGTGCTAATGGGAACACAGTGTTGTCATGCACTGTGACGAATAATGAAACTTATAATAATGTACCGTTCGCTTATGAATGAATAAAACGTAGAGTCCACTACATTCTCACATGAAGTCATCATGTTAGGCTCTCTGCATACATTCTTCTATGTATATATCTGTGAACCACAGACTACATATAACAGATATCAGCCATTGTTTATGGGATGCTACACTTTGCTGCCTACATTTTGTTTTTCTAACTCCAGAAATATTTAGGTTTAACGTAGCAGGAGGCAAACTGAATGACTGACCACACCTGTGCAGGTTGGTTTCCAGGCAGGCTCAGAGTTTGATGCTCTGAATTCCACAAAAACATGACACTAAGCTGAGTTACAGTTACAGAACTGGTGTCTGTGCTCAGACTGTCTGTGTCATCGTTCTCTGGCTGTCGGTTTATGTTATTTGTACAGTTATATTATTGTAATGACAATAAAAACTTTCAATTCAATTAAAATAAACAAAGGGCTCCTAAAAATATCCAAGTCTCCACTTAGAATGATGTTTGTGTCTTTGTTACCAGCATCAGGGGTAAAAAGGGTCTGCGGCTCACACTGACTTTAGATTTTAAAAATCCCACACTGATATATTTTGTTTCATTTGACACTTGCTCTATGTTTGGACCGTGCACTCCCACTCCCTCTATATTTATGATATGGTCACCACGCATTCAGACACACACCCCAGATCCAAAGCGAGTCCAGTCTCATACCCAGGAGTGGGGATCCCAGGCACTGGTTTCTGCACGTCACCACAGGAATGCCACCAATGCTCCAGTATGGATCCCATTGTGTCAGAAAGGAGCTTTGTCAGAACCGATGTGTAATATGGTGGCTGCAAACGTCTTCAGCACTGGGCAGATGTCAAAACAAACATGGAGGTAGAAGAGTGACTTGGGTAGAATTATTTGTTTAGTGTTATCATTGCTAACCTGCTGAGACCTGAACTCTTTCGTGGCATTTTGACTTTCTCTTTGCTGTTTGGGCTGATTGGGGCCTGATTCACGTAAAAACAAAGAATTACCTGATTTCTTTTTTTTAACTTGATTTTTGTTTCTGAGAGAAATGAGATCCACATACATTCACTTTAACTTTTGATCGCACAGGGGCAGGATAACGTCCTCGTAAGTGGATATCAGGCCCTTGTAGAGCAAGATTTAGTATTTTGGTCTGAACAACCCAAAATGTGACGTCCATACGTGGACGCAGGTCCTAGGAGGTTAATAGTGATCGGCACAGAAGAACGCTTTCTTGGGAAAATTCCTGTGTATTTACTACTATCGGCATATTTGTTCATATGTGTCATCGAGTCAAAGGCCAAACGAGACGGAGAGCAGCTCCCTGACAGTCGTGGGTTGGGCCGTAGATTAATATTGAATCACCTGGACAACATGAGAGGACTGGACTTTTGTGTAAGCTGAGAAGCGGTGACACAGCAACGGCTGAGAGCGAGAGACTTCTCGCAGTCACTCCGTTGGCAGGCTCTCTGTGTGTGTTTGGTAAACAAACGTTACCCAAGATAGAGCAGGGAGGTGTGAACAAGAGGAATTTTTTCTTTCCTGTCCACAAAAACATCTTGCTTGATGACTTTGTCTGCACACATGAGTTGTGTTAAGTATCTGAGGCTGGAGAGTCGGTGAGGCAGGAAATGAGCCAGGGGAGGATCCAGGCTGACTGGGTCAGTGCTGGGAGTTTCTAGGCTTCTCTTTCTGGGTCACTAAAGATTTTCCTCATTTGTCTTGTGCTTTGGTAACCAGTGCATGAGCATCCATTTTCCCCTGCAGGTCCTGGGAGGCTGATATGAAGTGTTAGTGTGACTAACATTTGTGTCATCTAAGAGGGCACAGTTCCTAGAGAAGACATGGCAGCTTCCTGTTGCCTCACACACGCCGCTCTCCTGCCCTCCCACGTTCCACTCTGTCCTGTCCTGCCTTGTCCCATGCAGCTTCGGAAGTTCCACCCCCACCCTGGGCTTGCCAGATTGCTTTTGTGCTGCATTGCGTGATGCCAAACTGCCCCTGTGCGTCACTGGGAGCACCCTTCCTACACACACACACATACATTGTAAATACATGCTGCTTTGTCACACCGTCCTACTCGTGGGCTTGTCTTTATTTGTATTAGAGAGACGGTTGGGTAGTAACTGGTAATGCAAAGGTTTTGCTTTATATCACATGTGCATATATTAGTGGGAATATTTTTTTTAAGTTCACTTGGTGACCTACAAAGTAACTGACTGCATTTTTTAAAGTTAGCCGTCCTCTCCTGTTTGTAGAAAACTGGATCAAGATGATCTTATCATCCTGTACAGAATAACCACCAACCCTTTGTTTCCGTGTCATTTTCAGATAGCAAACTTTAAAAAGCGGATTTCTTTCACACTTTTTGTCTTCAGCCAGCAGAGCCTCGGCAGAACAGCACGTCGATTCAAACAGTAACAAAGTCAAATGAATCCTTTTTATTAAGAGCTCTTTGCCTTAAATTGCTTCTGTTTAAGTCAAATGTCATCATGACAGAAATGTGGTGAATGTTTGTTTTGATATTACCGAGTTTAAGTCTCAGTCTCCACAGGAGCATTCTGGGGGGGCAGGAGCATTCTGGGGGGGCAGGAGCATTCTGGGGGGGCAGGAGCATTCTGGGGGGGGCAGGAGCATTCTGGGTGCTGGGGCAGGAGCATGCACACGTCTCTATACTCCTGGAAGCCTCACTGAGGCAGAAATGGAAACCAGAGCAAAGACGGCAGGTCTTTAGCGTCGCTCCTGTCGGGCAGCAGCACATCCAGAACGTGGGACGATTTTCTTTTTCCTTCATTATTATTACTTAATTATTGTAATTGCGCGTGTACAGGTATGGCTACACGTTACTGGATGTATTGATCAGTGGGAAACGCTGGTCACCAGCTTAGAAACTGTTGTGTTAATGAAACACACCAGAGCTGCTCTCTTTTTGTTTCTTTGAATACCACAAAGCAAACCCTGTAAAAGTTACTGGAACAAATAAATAAAAAAGTGTTTTTTGTTTTGTTTTTTAATGTTGTTTATTTTGTCCAATGAGCTGTTTTTTGTTTTTTTTCCAAAGCAATACTTTGATCTTATTGGCGTTTTTTCATTTTTGTGTTTTTCTGGATCCAAAGTTGAACCCGTGCACCACCAAACTCATATAGTTGGCCACATACAGCCCACTTTAATCTTTAGTGAGCAGACCAGTGAAAATCATCTTTCTTTCACTGTACAGACGTTTATTTGCACATTTAATACCGAAGATATTTTAATATTAGAAAAAGACGTGCAAATGTGTGCTATTTCTGTACACGGCAGAGAAATGCTGCTGTAGTTCATACATTGTAAGAAATGTGTGAAACTGCAGACATGTTTACATATTGACTGTCATAAATAATTATGAAACTGAAAGTTTTTATTAAAAATAACTCTCCCAGTAAAACCACATTTTTCTGCCTTTTAATTGTTCATCTATTATCTACCTCCTGTGGTTTGGTATGAATGAGCTCTTTGTTTATCAGAAAAGCTGTAAAAATGATGAAAATACAGTTAGAAGAGCAAAATGACTCGATTGGACGAGTCAGGCTGACCTCGGGGTTTTTTACACGTCACCCTGAACTGTTCCCAAAACCGTTCATCTTTTTTTGCGCTGCCAAACTTGGTGGGTGAGTAAGTACAGAGATGTCGAGTGTGTGCGCACCAAACGGTTTCTCAGCTTTGGTTTCCACCTTTGATCGTTTCCATGTGGGGCCCTCCACTCTGGTGCTGACACTTTTAGTTTGAAAGGGCAACTCAAACGTGATCATAGCTTTGCTTTTCAACATTTCCTACTGGCATCACACAGCAAGGAAAGACGGAAGAGTCACTCGTCATGCTAGTTTGCAGTCAAACGTTCCCCATCTTTATAAAACACAGGAGCGATACTGGCCCACGGATAACTGCCTTTCTGTTCCTCAGTATTTGACTCAATCGGTGTCTATGCTAATAACAAAGGGGTCTTCCTCTCTGACTCAGGTAGACTTACTCCCACTCTTTTTTCCCTTTTCACTTTATCTTCCTTTCTTCTCCGCCTCTATCTCTGTCTTTCTCTTTTTCCAGGGACCACACATAGCATCGGTGACCCTGGCGGCCTACGAGTGCGGCTCTGTGGATTTCCCCGAGCCACCATATCCAGAACAAATAGTTTGTCCCCAACAGGAAGCACCAGCATCAGATTCTGGTGCTGAGCAGGTGGGTGTGGAAGCTGTGGGGTCAGAGACGCTCCAGGGAAAAGTCTCACTGTGGACCATCCTCTCTAAAGTCCGTCTGGAAGCTTGTATGTGGGTGAGTGTGTGTTACACGTCAGGCACCGTCAGCTGTGGACATTACAGATGAGAACATTTTAAAAACCTGCAGAGTTTGGCTCCTTTCGTTCCGTTTCAGTCACAGTTTGCAGCAACCTTTCATATTAGCCACAGCTCGTAGCAGTGTTCAGTGTTTGTGATGCTTACAGGGGGATATCTCATGTCTGCTAAATGTCAGTTTCTCATGAACTAAGAAAAAACCATCTTTGTAGACGTATTCAGTGGGTGTCGTTACGCAGAATCGCACCAAAACCTGAAGGACAGCACGCTCAAAACTTGGTGAAGATCGAATCCTAATACAGACTATTTAAACTCTTTGGCGCCATTCTGGCCATATCAAAGGTTATGCTAATTTATGCTAATTAACTTGCATTTTTTTACCTTTCACACTCAAAGCAGAAACGACACAAAGGTGCATTAAAACTGGGTGCAAATGTATTCATTGATAACTGGTCTGCTTGGAAAACCCCTGCTCCTTCCTGTGAATTTCCCCTAACCAGCATCGATGGTTTCACACCTCTAACCAACCCTGCGGCTGCAAAGACCAACATCTCTTTTTTTCAATCGATGAGGTTTTTTTTTATCTCTTTATATGAAAACAGCTGCTTTTCAAACACTTGGAGGTCTCGTATTAGCAGCGTCCACTTCCAGAGCGCGTGGGTCTGCGTGAGTTTTTATAAAGTCACTGACGATAACTTGCACACAAAAACACAACAGTCACGCTCGATTATGTGCGCTTTTGTTTACGTTTTCTCAGTGACGTGTGGACCTGCTGAACATTCGGAGAATAGAGAACTTGGCGTCTGACACATTAGATGACTTTGATCATTGTTGTCCATTTCCCTTTTCCTCTTAATGTGGAAGGTTCAGAGATGAGGGGGAAATGCATGTTATCAGCTACGAGGCTTTACTGGAACTGGGCTCCCTGCTCAGACCGGCGTTCGTTACGTAACTTTATTTTATATAATTATGCAGTTATGGTCCTTTGACTTGATCTTTATTTGATCCGTTTTCACTTTAAACGTCCCCTCCAACCTTCCACTTTGTGTTACCATATATGTGTACACACACCGATCCAGCATGTAAAAAAAAAAGGTGTGCATGTTTTATTAATTGGTGCAGCACGGTCGTTTCTCTGCTTTCAAAATGGAGTCGCATTTTTCTCCCAGTCGAGCTGCAGCATCGTGTTACGAGCAGCGATATCCAAGTGTGTGTTGGCGGGGGGGGTGCTATCCAATCCCCTCGGATGCATAACCACCCACTACCAACCAACCACTGCCCCTTTGTAACCTCAGCCTGGCACGACCTCGGCCGAGGCTTGTCGGCGATTCAGTTGGAAACACCTGTCGCACCCACGGCTTCAAAGCGCCCACGTCAACATTTCCCCTCCTCCTCCCACCTTGTGGATACGTCGCTGATGAGACGCGTGTGATTCCCCTCCTACCTTCTCTGTCCTCTTTGTTGTCTCTTCTTCTCTGTGCTCGGTGGACAGAGAAGCTCAGAGGTCCGCTTTAAGAGCGGCGCCGTGCAGGTAGACGCGTTTCGCTGCCCCCCACACAAACCCACACGGCCACAATGCTCACACACAGAGGCAGAGCTGCTGAATGGAGCAGCTGCCAGGGAGATTAAGACACATCTCCATTATGAGGAAAAAAACTGGCACATTTCATCAAAGACTCCAGTGTTAACAAGAGAACAGGGTGTCCAGATTAAAGATCGAGTTTGCCAGGTTTGGGGATAGCACCGCCTCCCGAGAATGATTGTTTGGGCTTGTTGTTGCTGCCATGGTTGCTAACTACCTACTAATCATCTTCTGGCTCCAGCCATCCAGCAACATACAAGTAATGTGCCTGCGATTAGTCAGTTATATCCTTCTGGGGGAGAAGTTGTTTTGTGTTCCAACGAGACGACTGAAGTGCAAAAGGATTTTTTCTTCTTTTCGTTGCTGTCGGTGCATCGAAGGGTGTCGGGATGTGGTAAATCTCGAAATCACCCATTTGTCATCTGAAACTTAAACTAACTGTATCTTCTTGTCCCCGGCTTTGCGCATACTTTTCCTTTGTGCCTGGAAACATTAAAGTAATGAGCTGTGAGCAACTCCAAAAACGCAGCATTTCTTGGCGGCTGTTTTCATTGTGTTAATTAAGTCTGTAACCCTCACCCGCTCTCTCCCCCCTCCGAACTCCTGCCCTGTTCTCATGTTTTGGTGGATGAACTTGGTGAACCGACTGAAGTGCTGAGGATTTATTTCCCCCCCAAATCACTTCCGCTTTCTTCCTGTTAAGCCCCCTACAATCACACAATCATATGGCTACAAGCTCATTGTCGCTGTCAGACTTGGATGTTCTGGTTGCTTGGACGAGCTCCCTCTCCCCCAGATTTGTTAGCGCATCTTAAATTTTCTTGAAAAGGTTGCAGATTGGAGAGGAGGAGCCAGGAGTTTCACACACCCTGGACCCGTGTTTAACGTATCCATGATTGTTTAATAATCTGCCGGATTTATTTCTTGTAAATCTTTTCCGTTTTATTCCCATTAAGCGCACTGATCTCAAATCCCCGACCTCAAGCATCGCAAGCTGCTTTGCATAGTGGATATTGATATTTCATGTCTATTAACCGTCTGAAGGCAAGAAAAACATGGAATGATTTAGCGTAGCAAAAAGTCATTTCACAGCCAGATGTCTTGAGGCATAATTAATATTTAAAGCTGTGGCATCACTTAACCACAGATCTTGGATACAGTATAAGTGTTTTTAATAACTGCGCTCTACATCTGAGATATCTGTCCAGAAGCTCTGTCGATTGCAGATTTTGACATAACAGAAGTGTGTGTTATATATGAAATCACACAATGAGTATAAACATGAATGAAACGTGTGTGAACAGGGTGTGGGCACAGCCATCGGAGAGCTGCCTCCGTACTTCATGGCGCGAGCGGCTCGGCTGTCTGGCACTGAACCCGATGATGAGGATTACCAGGAGTTTGAGGAAATGCTGGACCAGGCAGAGGCCACGCAGGTGACACGCTGCTCATCTCAGACTCATCATCTTCATCATCATTCTCTGTAATCAAACTTCCCCTCTCCTACCTCCTTCTTTCCTGCATCGCACATCTTTCTGTCGTTTCCTCTCCGCTCGTTTGCCTTCATCACTCCATCACATTTTTTTTGCTCTATACCAAAAGTCACGTCTGATGTGGCAAATTTGCTTTTGTAACCTGCGTGTGTTTGTGTTTGAACCTCCCCTCGGTGTCTCAAGACTGCAGCGCTTTCACAATGCTGTGACTAAGGGAACAGCAATGATGCACTAGAGTAAAATGTTCCCGCGATATCCGGGCCCTCGTTGAGTAATTTCCTGTTTGACTTTGGGTTTTTTGGGTTCTCATGTCTAACATCTCTGCAAATGTTTCAACAATGCCTAACAACTCTGTCTAAATATTTATTTTTCCACCCTCTTGCGATTATGAATAGAGGGAGAGGAATGAACAGAAACATGCATGTGGATTTCCAAAGGCTTGTCATGTGTATGTCCATCGTCAGTCAAAGGCTGCGGTAGGTCAGGTGGATAAAACGACCAGCAGCTGAAGCGAGCTGCAGCCGACTCACTCATTTTCTCTGCTTTGAGCTGCGAGCAATAACTTTATTTTTTAATGAGGGTGTCTCAGATATTAAAGGACTGCTACGTGTTCAGTGTCCGTTTCATCTTTTGAAGCATGCGTGTAGGATCTGTGACTTGTTCAGCCACAGTTGCATTCTGGGTAATTAAATAAGTAAGTAAAGTTTATTTATTAAGCACTTTTCATAGACAGGTAGTCACAAAGCGCTGCACACAGAGATGAAAATAAACAGTACGATAAATAGAAAAATGCACAATATAGAGTTTAAATGTAAATTAAAAATATAAAAATGTAAAAAGCGTTGGTCAACAGAAAGCTTGTTTAAACAGTAAAGTTTTAACTGCTTTTTAAAGGATTCCACAGAGTCAACCAAACGTAGTTGTAGAGGCAGACTGGTCCACAGCCCTGGTGCCACAGACTGAAAGGCTCCGCCCCCTTTCCTCTTCAGACGAGCACTGGATTTAATTGTAACATGGCCGACATACGGACCTCTGGCCATAACTGACAAAATGCTTTTTAGCACTTTTTTTTTTTTTTAGCACATTTTAATGAATTATTTTTCATCTGTATTTACAAAAATATATTTTCAAAGGTCACCATATTTTTTTCTGTAAGGTATAGAGTAATTGTTTTAAAATAAAAGGTTACCCTCCTAAGACCCGAACTCTTCCACAGCAGCATTTTTAATTTCTCTCTGATATTTGGGCTGATTGGGACCTGATGAATGTAAAAACATGAATAAAAAAAATTAATGTAACCTCATTTTTGTTTCTAAGAAAAATCAGAGCCACATCCGAGGATATTCGTTTAAAATTTCGATAGAACAGTAGCAGGATAACGTCCTTGTTAGTGGATATCAGGCCCTTGTAGAGCAAAATTGAGTATTTTGGTCTAAATAACCCAAAATGTGATTTTTTTTTTTTTTTAAATGAGTGTACGTGATGTGTTGGTTGTATGTTTGTTGTTTGTTTTGACATACTGCGAATCAATTTCCCATCAGGGACAATAAAGTTACCATTGACATATGTGGACGCAGGTCCTTGGAGGTTAAAAATTGTTATTTCCACCTTATTGAATTTAAATCAGGGCCAATTTGTTGTAGTTAAACACAAGTTGTTTTTGTTTTTTTTAAATGAGCAATTTAAAAATGTAATTTTTTTCTTTTATATCAATTTAATAAGTAATAAGTTGCAGCTTTCAGCACTATTGTAACACAGAGGAGCTACGCAGGTTTGAACTTTGATCTTTCTTTTTCTTCTCGTTCTACCTGATCAGCTTAAACCACGTTGTACCTGTTACGCCTTCAGCTGGCTGAAGTAGTAATCGGTGATTAGTTGTCACAAATGAACTTTGAAGTCAATAATTACAACATATTTAACGACGTGTGGTTCCTGAGACGAGCCGCTGTTTCCATTATCAGCGACTTCAACAAATGTGGACGAGGGCTGCGCTGACACAGACATCAAATTCGTAAAGCTCTGAATATTCACAGATATGTACATGTGCTTTCTTTTCATGAGCTTTATCATTCAGATTTGTGGTTTTTATGAACTCAGTGCTTTTCCTTGGGCATAAATATATTTAGACTGGAGTCATTTAGCATATAAATCAAAGTTTGTTGTCAGTGCAACAACGGCGCAGCAGCACGCTTTGATCGAATGCTGAATTTTGCCGTTAAAACAGAGAAAAGCAAAACAGCAACTTCAAAATATTTTGATATTAAAATGAAATGTGTTTCAGTCATGAAAGCATCCAGTCTGCATGTGGATGCACTCGTTAGGTCAATGTGAGCTCAGGAGTTTCCTTTTGCACCACGTCAGGCTGTTCTCCTCACTTTGCATCTCTCTCTCCCCTCCTCTCTTTCTCTCTCGCTCGCTCTGTTCTGTGATATGTGGTAACTGTGTGTTTGTGTATATATGTAATGTGCACTTTGATAGCAGCTGGAGGCGGGTTGCTTGCACCAGCACAGACCTGCTGCATACGGAAACGTTTTTTCCCTCACCGGGGCTTTTACTGTTGCTCGGATGTTCTTGGGATTCCCTCTTTGGCTCACGGACATCCCACAACACGTCTCTTTTTTTTCTTTTTCCTCGTCCACCATTTAGCCTTTTATTAACTGACGTCGTTTTATTGTGGACGTTGGCGTTCATCTGCTGTGGAATAGCTTTTTTAAATGATATATTACCAGCTGAGCATTAACGGCAGCGGTGGAAACCGACTCCACTGCGACTGGAAGGGACAAACTATCACTGCATTGTTTATGAGACAGGAAGTGGTTAAATTTTTCATGAAGGAAGTGACCCCCTCTAACCCTTACCCCGTTCCACATACGTACCCCCCCACCCGCCTCCCAAAAACCCCAAACACACACAATAGCACACGCTCCCCCCTGTGGCAGCAGAGTCGGACTAAGATGCTTTGTACCCCCCATCAGTAAGACAGGTTTCTCAGGTGCCAGCATTTTGACTCAAACCCGCTGGTATTTCTCCCACCCTGCACGTGCCAACTTCCTGCCACAAGTGCACGTGATGCGCAGCAACAAAGCACTCTGGGTTTTTCCTCATTCATTCAACAGAAGAATAATGAAGTCATGCCTTTTCTAACGGCTCCAGACGCTGATGTCATGAACATCAGTTTTTTCCCTGCTTAAATCAAGCTCCGTGTGAGTGAGAGCACCAGAGAGGAATCCTCAGCACTGACACGGACCATAGCAGAACATCCTGCTGGGCTTGGATCTCTTATAACTTCATTAGAAATGACTTCCTGTTGAAGGGCTTTTTTTCCTTCGTCTGGCATTGAAAGCGTTAACAGGCTGCGAATTCTTGATTGCCAACTCCCAGGATCCTATCTCCTGTAACTCAAATCAGGGCCATCTGCGCTGGGCGTATGCCTGCCTTCCCCCCTGGCCTACTGCACTCAAAGGCTCTCTGTGCTGTGGTTTGCCCAGCCTTGTCACGTGACTTCTCTGAAAGTGCCCCCTCCCTCCTCCTCCCTCTTTATTTCCAGTAAACTGTTTGAAAGGAGGGGGGTGAGTCAGAGTAAAACCAGCTTCCCTTTAACCACAGCTTGTTAAAGAATTTGTCAACGTGGACTCAGGGTGTGTGTGTGTGTGTGTGTTTGTGCGTGTGTGTGTGTGTGTTGTGCCATTGGACAGATTTGAATTTGTACCTCTTGGTTTTTTTGTTTTTTTTGAAAGGCGACTATAGCTTCGATTGCATCAAGAGTCCTTAATCACTTCACTTCCTGTGCCAGACAGAGCGGGCGCAGGCTTGTCAGGAGTTAATGAGATGAACTTTAGCCGTCTTCATGTCGGGGGGCTCGCGAGCGCTCTGGAGATGTCTTCTATGTAGAAGAAAAAAATGTGCGTGGGTGTTGACTTGTGTATAGGCTATGCATAGATTTTTCCTTGTGTGACACTTTGATTTTCCACATGGAGCAGATTGCCTGGTCACTGCCTGCTTTTTGTCCATCTGAACTCTGTCCCTCAAAAGTCAAAACAAAGTGATCGCTTCGTCGACTTTTCCACAATGAAAAGTCCGCAGGACGTCAGACCATGTTCACTAAAAACAATGGAGCGATCCAGTATATTATAATATTATTCTTATTATATAATGCTCTCTCCTTTCGATATCTAATTCAAAAAAGTAAACAGACTCAAACCAGCTTGAACTGAGTGCAGCTGAGTCCTTACGTTTGAGGAGTTTCTTTTTATTTGGCCACCTGCTTGAATTATCTGCAAATCATCCACAATATATTCACTGGTCAAATCATCTTAAGGCTGTAAAATGTAAATGTTCATAAAACATTACAGACCGAAACCTGTGAAAAGAGGCGTCTGACTCGCCTATAATTTGGTTCTTAAACGAGGACTTGACTGGTCGGATCATCTCGAGTAACAAATCAAATGTGGTTTTGTGTCCTTGTGTGGTGACTGAAGGTTGCTGAGTAAAGATTTGTGCTGAGCAGCCAAAGCTGGAACCAAAGCTCCCTCCTTTCATGACGCTGCACCCTGACACCATCTCAGCAGATGTCACCGCTGCTAAGCCAGCCTGGCAGGTCGGAGGACGCTGTATGTGTTGTTAATAAGCTGCCAACAACAAAGACGGGCACTTCCCTGGTCCAGAAACAGAGTTGTGTCCATAGTTGTGCTACAGTAAATCAGTGTCACAGCCTCTCCTCACCTCCTAAGGGACCCTCTGTTCACACTGATATATACTCTGGTAGTGCACACCTAACACCTAACAGCACCTAATGTAAACAATGCGTGCGTCAAGATATGGTGAATGAACGGGACTCGAGGCTGCGTGTGTGCGGCGCCCAGCGGCACTGTAGGATGCATTAACAGCCACAGATGTCAGGTATCCAGACACGGTCGTCAGCAGTTCAGCTATAAACCAGCCGTACACATTCCTTCCTTCCCTGTCTCCCACCAGCTGAGCATTTCTCTCTCTCTCTCACACACACACACACACACACACACACACACACACACACACACACACACACACACAGGCTAGAATTAAAACTCCGGGGTTTATGATTGGACATCAGCAGAGGCAGAAATTCAAACTGTGAACCAATCAGATTGCGTGTCCGTTCGCTCCCCCCTCCACCACCTTATTAGGCGACCTCCCATGTCTCTCAAATTTCCCGTCTGTTGGGTTGCACCCAGTAAAGAATGTCATCAGCACTGTACTGGTTTTGTTGACCATATTAGGTATGATCATCTATTGCAGGCCCCCCCACCCCTCAATTTTGAAGCTGCTGTGTTTCACAAACTGAGGCCTTGCTTTCAAAAAATAAACCCAATTTTTAGCCTTTTCATCTGATAAAATTCCTCTTTTCAGATAAATTTGGTTGATTTTTGTTTTGTTTTTTTCAGGTGAGGAAAAAATGTTTTTGCTAAAAGAAAATAAAGTTCACAAACATTTAACACAGATCGAATGAAAATTTGACTGTGAAATATGCATTTAATAACCTGAGGAAGGTTCTAAATGTGTCATTTGTTTTGTTCAGGAATTATTTGTCTTTACAGGAATTAGTGGTTTGAAACCAAAATAATTTTGTCCATACGAGCAGCTCGAGGGCTCGCTCACTGTAAAGAAGTGTTTTTAATTTTCCCACAGATATCAAAGGAGTTGAATCTAAAAATCACAAAGACAACCTCTGTGACACACACACACATTTATATATAACACACAGCAGCCTGATATTTCAAACTAATCAAATACTCTTAGAAAAAATATCTATTTACATCCATATCGCTCTCAGCCAGTAATTGACATAATTAATATATGTAGAGCCTGTAAGTGTTACATGTTTACATCCCCCATCTATGACAACAATTACACTGATTTATAAACAAATATTATTTTGGTGCAACGAGTTTGAGAAGCTGAGAAAATGTGGAAATAATAAAGACAGAAAGCAGACTTTATTTTCTAAAACCAAAAAATGAAAATATTAAAAATCGACTTAAAAGCAGTAATTTTACCAGCTGTTATATTGCTGTTTGTGTTTGGCTGTCAGTCGCAATTTCTTTTGAAAATGTAAATTTTCACAGATGTGGATGTTGTAGAAATGCTGATTGTAGAAACGTTTAGCTGCATATTATTGTGCCGTCCTGCATCTGAGGTTTCCTTTTAAATTCACAGTTTTCCCAGAAGTAGTTCAAGTAAAATCCAAACAGAGCTTCTCTTCCCAGAAAACACATCGAGGTCAAACCTGTCTCATTGCTGTGAAAAGAGGCTTTTGTGGAGATGTCAGTGGGGCCGAGCGAGACCAGCAGCAACGAAGAATTAGTCACTGGAATAACACGTCTGTTGTCTTCTCACATTTTCACAAAGGAATTAAGAAGTTGTGCTGTAGGTAAAGTGCAAGCACGACAAACCAGTTTATTCAGTTTTGTAATTAAATGAATTTTCATATGATAAAAATCCATATTTACAGCAGCCAAAGCTCATCTAAATCTTTAAACCCACCTTTCCCCAGTCAAGCTTTTAAATAAGCAATACAACAAAATTCTCCTTTGTAGAGTTTTTACATTTATTTTGTTTAAAGTGTATGAGTGAGAATTATGCTCATGGAAATATTAAATATAAAACCATCCTAAGTGCAGGTTTTAGAAGGCTCTGTGATTTTTGAGTGTTTGGAAACTAAAAACTGATTTGAGAGGTAAAGACAGCTCCGAGCATTAAGTCTGCTCTACTAAAATCCTAATTTTGGAGGATTTGCTGTGTTTCTGTAGAAACACATTTGCAGCAGGTAGAAAATGTTCCTGTTGCAGCTTGTTTGAACTCGTGTAGAAATCAGCAGAGACGAGAAAAATCAGGAATTATCTCATTTTTCGTTTCGCTGGACGCTGTTTTTGTTTTTAGATTAAAAAAAGGCAGAAGGTTGATCTCTGCTGCACCAACACTGAATTATAAAGAGGAGAAATGACTAAAGCAAGGCTCTGATTTTAAGATCTAAATGCATCCGTTTTTTAAATGTGACATTTGAACAGTTTTCCGAGCAGTTGTTAAAAAGCTCGTTGGAAGCAGCGCTGCAGCCGTTTGTTTCTCACAACTGTGAAATTTGTTCTGCTTCAAAAACAAATTCCCTGAGACAGAAACTTCAGCTTCTTCTCATTTCAAATGAATTTTACCAGCAAGTAAAAGGAAACTGAAGAAAGCAGCAGTGATCAGGATGATTATCACTGAATCGGAATGAAGTATTTTAAAGACATTGTGAGATCTGATTTTTAAAATCAACGCTGATAATTAGGAAATGATTTAATTTGACTGTTTTACCTTTGAGTTAAAAGAAACTGGCCTGTAGATCTGACATCAGCCTTCGGTTCATTAACAGTGTGTAAATGAACAAATCTGTGGAGGTGATTTATTTGCACATTTTTCTCTTTTTTTTTTTTTAGGACTTCTCCTTCCGGGCGAAAGTCAGCGTACAGAAACTGATCCAGAAAGTGGGATTCTTTGGGATTTTAGCCTGCGCCTCTGTAAGTCCCACACAAGCTTATTTCGATTCTTTCTGTAATAAAACGCCATAAAATAATCCTCCTTATTCTGCAGACGTCCACACTAAACACACACAAATGCTTTTCTTGACTTTGATCGTGCTTCTGATTTCCCTCAGATTCCCAATCCCCTGTTCGACCTGGCAGGAATAACATGCGGACACTTTTTGGTCCCCTTCTGGACTTTTTTTGGTGCAACACTGATCGGAAAGGCGCTCATCAAAATGCACATTCAGGTAAGCGACATTAAAAAGCCCCGTGGATCTCTGTGGCTCATAGAAATAGAATAATAGAAGAGAGCTGTGTGAATGCGCAGCGTCACATCTGTGTGTGTGAAATGTTCGATTCTGTGCTGAAACAAAGCGTCGCAGAGATGCAAGTGCGTCTTTAATGGGGATAAATGCATGAGATAGTCGCACTGATGCAGTGACTGCTCTGGAGTCGGCTCCGGAGTGAGGAGGCCATTTTGTGCAGCCAAGCAGGGGGGAGTCAACCATTTTGTGAGTGCAGCTGCAGCAGCACAGAGCCTGTAGTGTGTGTAGATGGTCCAAAGCTATAGGGGGAAGCAGCTTCGTCCTGCATTGTTGAATAAGGAGCTGTAGGTAGGAGACTTCCCAAATACTTGTTCTAATCCTGGAAAATCCTCAGTTTGCGTCCAGGAATTTGTGGCATGTCTGCGATCACCGTCGGGGGATCGACTTGTTTTCTAACCAAACGCAGGAATTTGCTCACTGTGACACAGACGGGTTAAAAACACGGGAAGCATTTCCACAGCAGCTGTGTGACTCGGTGAGCACCAGCAGATAAACGTCTGTGGGGGGTAAAGGAGGGCACGGCAGGAACACTCACACACAGAGTGCTAGATTACACCCGGCTCCCAGGGGCCCCCCGCTGACAGAGGTGTGGCCCTCTGTGTCACGTAAAGAAGGACCCCCCCCCCCCCCCCCCTCTGCAGGCCCCCCTGGAGCTGCTCGCTTTAATTGTTCTGAAAGTTTGTTTCTCATGCAAATGATCTGAGTTTAACGTCTTTGTGCAGAAAACAAGAAGTGTTACGAGACGGCCGAGCAGGTGACAAAGGGGGATTTTAAGGCTCTGTGTGTGTGTGTGTGTGTGTGTGTGTGTGTGTGTGTGTGTGTGTGTGTGTGTGTGTGTGTGTGTGTGTGTGCGCGCGCGTGTGTGTGTGTGTGCGCGCTTCAAAATCTGGGGTTGTACCTGTGCTCAGGTGTGTTCTCTTCATTCGCGTCTTATTTCTGCTTCCTGCTCATTGAGCTTCAGGTGTGAGAGGTTAGCATCGGTGGCTGTGGGACGCAGCGGAGGAACGTGTGTTTGTGATGGTCACATGGCAAATATTAAAGTATTCTGAAAACAGTTGTCAGAACATGCATGTACGTGAAACATGGCTGCTTCCCATCAGACGAGCTGCTTGTCCCATGTTTGTAAGGTTCATTTGCACTGGAACGGGCAGAGTTCAGCGTTTCAGGCGTGTGAGAGCAGACGTCACTCAGCTTTCCTGTGTGTGTGTGTGTGTGTGTGTGTGTGTGTGTGTGTGTGTGTGTGTGCGCTCATCAATGCTTTGTGTGGGAGAACAGATCAACTGTCAGCTGTGGGGGCACAAACGCCTCAGTTCAGGTTAAATAATTTCTGTAACTGTCACAAACTCCAGATCTTACCAAGTCTATTTGTCTCATTTCTAGTCAAACAAATCTGCCAATGAAACAAGTGATCCAAGCGGCAGTGTGGAAAAAACACGAGTGGACATATCTGAGTGAAACGTTACTCTGTAGCTGAGAAATGAGACAAATTTACTTGGTAAGATTTTGAGTTTTTGCTGTTTGTTTTGTGTCAGATACAAAGTTTCAGTTTATACATAGTTGTGTATTTATTTTTGCAACATGTAACATTTTGACTGCGAGCCTGTCATTTGTTCAGTTTCTCCTCCTGTGATGCTCCGAGCTGAGCACTGAGTCTAAGTGCAGCCGGCTCAGCTGATCACGTTTTTAAAAAATTGTATTCACCTATCAAATGTTTGCACTTTGTGTATTTCCTGTGGTTTTGTCAGCACATTTATATTTTCCAAATGGTGTTGGAGGTGAATAGTGCGACTTCCAAGTGTTGTGTTGGTCAGCACACTTTACATCACTGCAAATTGTGACTGTGTTTTTTAAATTGTTCTTATTTAAATTGACGGCGCTGTTCTTGCCCCTGATATAGACAATGCTGGTGTATTTCTCTATAATTTTCAGTATATATTTAGTGTCTTCTGCAAACTGTTTCTGTGGGTTTGAACGATCCTTTGCTGCACAACACGAGTTTGTAATGACGGCTCGGCTGCTGTAGTCTTCCTCATGGTGAAGGCAGGCGAGAGGTTCGTGGATCAAACAAACACATGCGCTTTTAGAAGAACACACTAACAGACAATAACTGAAGGACCTTGAAAAATTAGTGGTCAATTATTGTCTGCATGCCCCTCCCACCAGCACCAAAGCTGGAATGACCGGCAGTCGCCTGTTTGTCGCCTCTGTGCTGGTGACTAAGCAGGACCTGGTCAGGAGCCGGATGCAGGCCCCTGTGGAGCCACGACACATCTGATTCTCCATGTCTCTGTCAGTGTGCACGTTACACACCGGCTGTTCTAACGGCAGCCGAGGTGATACGCTGACGTGTGTCGCGGGCTCTGATTTCTTGCCCTTTGTTTCTGCTTTCACACCAAACCTTTTTGGTTGTGTGACACACATGACTGGGGAAACTGAGTAGTGAGTGTTTGTGTGAGAAAGGAGGTATTAAAGGATCACCGGTCAAACTATAATGTTTTACTGCTTTTCCCGCTATTGCTGACCTCACGCTTCAACGACTAACGTGTTCTTCCTCCGTGTGCTTCTTTGTCATACAGAAACTGTTTGTGATCATCACCTTCAGTAAGCACATAGTGGAGCAGATGGTCTCCCTAATCGGGTGAGTAACCCTCACCGGGTGTGTGTGTGTGTGTGTGTGTGTGTGTGTGTGTGTGTGTGTGTGTGTGTGTGTGTGTGTGTGTGTGTGTGTGTGTGTGTGTGTGTGTGTGTGTGTGTGTGTGTGCGCGGCTGTTTGGTCACCAAAAGTACTACTACGCACCAAAGAGTGAATGCAGAGCGTGATGAATGAGGGACTTTTTGGGTGGCGATGGGGCATTTAGGCCCCACTGTGTCAAGTGGGCCTCCTGCTCTCGGAGGTCCTGACAGACGCTGTGTACAGTGGCTCTGAGGGACTCGCCCCTCGCCCCTCGCCCCCTCGCTCCTCGCTCTGCTCTGACAGTCTGTGTGCTGATTAAGGGCCTGGATTTTTCCACTGGATGATGACTATGAGCATGAACATGTTCTGGCTGCTTCACAATGAGCTCTTGACTATGGCAGAAACCTCGTCCCTGGTTTATCACATGTTTTGCTTCCCGTGTGTCTGCGTGATCATAGAGAGCTGCTGCTGGTACGAGGAGGCCTTTCATGTGCGAGCTGACGGTGCCAGGGGTTGATTGACCTGCAACCCTGTGTGGAGGAAATGCTGAGTTTCTGGAGGAGGTTGGAGAGACAGGTTTTATCTGTGCAGTGGACATCCTGTAAAAATGAACCACACAGTAAATACGGGCTTCTTGAAATTAAGGCCACGATGAAGCTGAAAGATCCTTGAGTTGGGAGTGGGTGCTGGCGGGGGCCGTGATGGGTGTCCTTGTAGCGATACGGGGGCTTGCAGCTGGAAACCGACACACCTGCTGGTGGGAGTGCCATTTATATTACACGCACACACCCGTAGGTGCACTCACACACATGCTGAAAGGAGGAGGTCAGGTTGCATCAGCTCTCTTCCTCACTCTTATTGTTGTTTTGTACATTTACTGTGTGTCTGCTGTGAGCCTGGACGTCTGCAGTCAAAGTGTTTTTTCACTGTGTTTTTAGTTTTTATACAGACTAATTAAGTGTGTGTGTGTGTGTGTGTGTGTGTGTGTGTGTGTGTGTGTGTGTGTGTGTAATTTGTAGCGTGAATTGTGAAAGACATGTGGCTGCTAGCAGTCACTGTTCATTGAACTGCAGACTGAAGGCAGCAGATCATTGGTTCCTGACCGGTTTCAGTCTGACTCGCTTCTTCTCTAAAGGAAGTTTCACTCATTACAACTTGTCAACCGTCGGCTTCCTTCCTCGCCGAGCCCTTTCTATCCTCACCTCTGATTCTCGATGCTGCTCTCGCTCTCAGTCACACGTCACCTTATGAATGGGTGACAGCGTTTCCAATTGAACCCTTTCTGCACCAGCGCTCTGCCATGTTAACTGTGGAGGTGCTTTCAAATAACTGTGCATCTTTCCACGCACCAAATCTGCAGTTGCCCCCACCTGCTGTGCGCTTGCACGGTGTGCACACACTCACACAAACTCAACCATTTATCCTCTGGATGCCCTTTTTCTCAAAACAAAACAAAGTCACACTACTCCATGTGTCGCGTTCAGTATCTGGTGGTCGGCAGACAGACCTGAGCTCCTACATAACACTATTTACATATTTACTTTTTTTATTTGGACCTTTTATATATTATTTGCACTGCTTTGGAGATGCTCTGTATCTCATTGTACAACTGTATAGTGACAATAATAGCATTCTATTCTATTCTATTCTATTCTATTCTCCAAAATTTCCTCCCCCTGCTAATATTGAATCTTTCAAAGCTGACCTGTTGCTCTGAAAGCTGATTTCTTACATTTCTTTTCTGTTCATGTAAACAGTGAAATTCTGACTTGACATGATCAGACTTCAAAAGTTGATTGACAGCCACGTCCCCAAAATACTTTCAGTGAAACGCACTCTGGACGTGGGGTTCGCCGTCGTTCGCGGCGTGATTTTGGATTCTTAATATGTGTCTTTGTTTTGGTTTGACTCCGGTGCCAGCCTTAGTGGGTGAATGACCGTTGGACTTTGGCTCTAGTGATTTCATCCTCACATGACATAATACAATACAAGTCATTTCCTGCTCTAGGTGAGCTCGCTGGCATGTGCACACAGACGACGCAGAATCAGTGGCTGCAGTCTCTCTGGGTGCAGCACCTCAAGCCTTTTTGTACACGTCACTTATTTTATTTTTACACCTGGTAAACTGATTTTATTGCCACGTATCAGAGTGTTTTTATTTGACCTCTTCTTTTGGATTTATACTGAAGTTGATAAAGGTTCAATTCCAGTATTTAGCTTTCTGACAGAGTGGAACATTTTTCAGTGCCGGTGAATCCGAGCATGGCTGTTATTAAAATAACAATGAACCAGGTGAATTCCCTGAAACATTTACTGCAGTGCGAAAAAGCCTCTAGTTTCACAATAGTCAAAATGTGCATTTTTGGTGATAAGAACAAAAGTGTGTGTGTGTGTGTGTGTGTGTGTGTGTGTGTGTGTGTGTGTGTGTGTGTGTGTGTGTGTGTGTGTGTGTACCTCTTTTTGTTTGTAAAATGTGTTTGAAGACGAGAGTTTTGGCGTGCTCTCTGCTGACCGTCATAATCGAGTTTTGAATGAGCTTCTTTTTAAAGATGTTTTAGTTTTCGGTCGTCTGCGATCAGTTTAAAACAGGGAAGTCGTTTTTCTGTGAATGACAAATGGAAAGTGTTGAAATTCATTGACTGAAATTCAGTTTCATAAGAGGATCACGAGGCTCTAAAACTGTCAACAGGAATTTTTATTACCTCTCAACCAAAAAATGACCAACTTCAGTTTTTCCTTCGTTTATCTACCGGCTAGAAATAAAATGTGCCTTTATTTATTTATTTATTTATTTATTTATTTGTCTATTTATTTATTTATTTATTTATTTATTTGTCTATTTATTTATTTATTTATTTATTTATTTATTTATTTATTTATTTATTTATTTATTTGTAAGATAAGATAAGACTTTATTGATCCCACAACGGGGAAATTTTTGCGTCACCTCAGCTCAGGTACAGATATATGAAGGAAATACAAAAATACAATTAAGTACAAATAAAGTACAGTTGTCTATTTATTTATTTATCTATTTATTTATTTATTTATTTATCTATTTATTTATTTATTTGTCTATCTATTTATTTATTTTTAAGAATGTGCACAAAATATAAATGATTAAAATGCCATTACACGTTTGCTTTTCTGCTGTTCCTTTTGAGTATTTACGTTTGTTGGAAAAATAATTTTTCATTTCAACTATTCAGTGAATTTCTTTCTTTTTCAGCCGTTTCTCTAACTGCTGTTTGGGGAAAAGGTCAGACAGGTCAAACCTGGTCTATTACTCCTTCATTATTGTTGAAACAGTTTTCTGGCAGATAGTTTTCACTCTTATCCTGCTGAGCCGAGCATTCAAGGCTACATCCACAGGTTTCTGTCAGTAGCAGCAGGGTAATGATGAAGATAGTTTTGCTTTGAAGTGCAACAGAGTCAGAATAAAACCCTCCTCAGATGCCTTCAGGGCTGATAAAAGAAGCAGATAACCAGGTCAGACAGGCTGAGGGCCTGATCAGACTTGCTAGGTTTCTTTCATCCTGTGACTAATGTTCAGATGTCTGCTCTGCACGATGAGCCGTGTGGACAGTCGTTTAGGTCAGGAGGAAATTCTGCAGACTCACGTTAAGTACATAGTGCTCCTGTTCTTAATTAAAAGGCTCATTTTTCACATCCTTGCACATTTTTTGCAGATTTTCTGATGTCAAAATTTTCCTAATTCAGGAGTTTTTTGTTTGTTTGTTTTAAACTTGCTAGAAGTGACTTTCTGACAGAGTGGGAAACACCCTGATTCTAGGCTTCGTGTAACACCTGGACTCTGTGTCTGTTCCTCCTTTTCTCCGTTCTCTTATCTCAGCAGCAGCTCAAAATCACCCAGCACATGTGGCAGTGGAACAGGGAGCTTTCCTGTGTTTGAATCCAAGTTTTCCATCCTCTCGTTGATCTTTTGTAAGTGTTCGGTGAACAGTTTACTCTGATTCGTGCCATTTCTTCATCAACAATTTGTAACCGATAACTGGACAGGACGTAACAGACGCTTTCTCTAATTGGAAGACAAACTGCAGCGATCCAGTTGTGTTTATGCTTGTCACTGGTCCCTGTGGTGGAACTGGATGAACTTTCTCTAAACGCCAGATGAGAAATTTGTTTCATATTATCTCATCTTCTGACTTCACACCCTGTTCTTCACAAAGTCAGCAGTAGGTTGTTTTGTATGGAGCTCGACAATTCCTTCATAGCCATGGATGAAGGGAAGGGTAGTCTTTGTCAGACTCTGAGAGAAAACCATTGACATGCAGAGAGGAGTCGAGACCTGAATAGGTTGTGCTGTAGAAACCGGTGTGCTGAGGCCACGGGGAACCCCAGCACGTCTTCATAAGAATGCACCTATTTCCATGCGAGTCCATCTCTAAGACATGAGTCGATTACCAGCACAATGGGCCTCCACATGGCTGTTTCTGCTGCATAAGGCATTGGGAGATCCCAGCATGCAGCCCTGCTCGGGAGGAGGAGGCACAGGTCAGAGCAGGCCGGTGGGTGATAGTGGGAACCACTGGTTGAATCATAGAGGAGCATTTCAAGTTAGGCTTTGCATTTACATGCAGTGTTGTGCTACGATTGTAATGTATTAGGTACTCTTGGTGGAATAACAATGAGTCGGTAAACTCAGCTGGATTATGTCTCAGATTATTTTCAGCATTTACTTTTTGTTTTGTGACAAAAAAAATCCTTCTAAGCAAACACGACCAACGCCGCGTATTTGAAAATGGCAAAGTGATGGAAGTGAGACTCAGTCGCTTGTGAGGAACCGTTTAGATTCAGTTTCCTCTTGAGTGCAGGGTCAGCGCAGCTTCCCGTGGACATTAACTATAAAACAACCAAGCTGTGGCTGCTGGAGAAGTTACTGAGAACCATGCAAATCAAACTATTCTGGGTGTTCACAGAAGGGCAGTTATTTATGCACACAT